CAACCAACATCAGAAGAAATGAAAAAGGAGCCATCACTATGGGTTCCACAGAACATTAAGACATCACAAACTTATACCAATAAAAGTAAACATTTTAAAGGAGATTGACAACTTCTGAAAAACTTGAGGCTAGGTACCTTGACTGTGGGGTTCTACTAAACTTGCAAGGAAGTCTGGAGGACAGAAAAAAGGGTGCCTGACTCACTTAATAAAGATACCAGTACTCTGATACCAAAAACCTCATAAGGTATGTGTACAAGATAAAAGTTACAGACAAACCAATTCTACTCATGAAGAGAGACAGAAGTCATACATAAAACAGTAGCAAACAGAATTTGGCAATATATAAAGACCACAACATTTTATAGTTTAACACTAAAAACCAATGTAATTCTCCACTTCAACATATGAAAGGGGAAAAACTATCATTCTGTGGAAGTATTAAAATTCAACATTGATTCTTTTTTACTTAAGAAGCAGCACATTTTATTTTTTATTTTATTTATTTGAGACAGAGCACGTGCATTCGTGCAGAAGCATGAGTGGGGGCAGAGGGAGGAGAGAATCTTTTTTTTTTTTTTTTTTAAGATTTTATTTATTTATTTGACAGAGAGACACAGCGAGAGAGGGAACACAAGCAGGGGGAGTGGGAGAGGGAGAAGCAGGCTTCCCGCGGAGCAGGGATCCCGATGCGGGACTCGATCCCAGGACTCTGGGATCATGACCTGAGCCGAAGGGAGACGCGTAACGACTGAGCCACCCCGGTGCCCCGGGAGGAGAGAATCTTAAGCAGACTCTCATGACCTGAGCCAAAATCAAAAGTTGGATGCTTAACCGACTGAGCCACCCAGGCGCCCCAAATTCAACATTGATTCTTGAAGAAACTTGCAGACCAACAGAAAATAGAGGGGAATTTCTCCAATCCTAATAAAGGGCATAAACAATGACAGCAATAAAACCTACCACAGAGAACTTATTTAACGGTCCAAGTCTGAAAGGATTCCTTCAGATTTGGGATGAGACAAGAATGTCCAGGACTGTCACCATTTTTATTCAGGCAGTGCTGATTTTTCTTTAGCCAGTGTGTTAAGAAAAAAAAAAAAAAAAAAGGAAATAGAAAAGAACCACAATTTATTCTGTGTACACAGAAATCCAAAAGATTTCCAGATTAAGAATTGCTACATTGAAAAAGTATCAAGAGATAAAATCAATTGCATTTCTTTGTTTTTATTTTTTAAATATTTTATTTATTTATTTATTTGAGAGGGAGAGAATGAGAGAGAGAGAGAGCACAAGATGGGGGGAGGTCAGAGGGATAAGCAGACTCCCTGCTGAGCAGGGAGCCTGATGCGGGACTCGATCCCAGAACTCCAGGATCATGACCTGAGCCGAAGGCAGTCACTTAACCAACTGAGCCACCCAGGTGCCCCTGCATTTCTTTATATTAGCAAATAAAAACAAAAAACAAAAGGAAATTTTATAATACCATTTTTTAAAAGATTTTATTTGACAGAGACACAGTGAGAGGGAACAAAAGTAGGGGGAGTAGGAGAGGGAGAGGATGGCTTCCCACTGAGCAGAGAGCCCGACGTGGGGCCCGATCCCAGGACCCTGGGATCATGACCTGAGCCGAAGGCAGGCACTTAATGACTGAGCCACCCAGGCACCCCTATAATACTATTTTTTAAAATAAAGATTTTATTTATTTGAGAGAGAGAGATAGCGAGAGCAGGAACACAAGCAGGGGGAGTGGGAGAGGGAGAAGCAGGCCTCCTGCTGAGCAGGGAGCCCGATGTGGGGCTCGATCCCAGGATCCTGGGATCATGACCTGAGCCAAAGGCAGATGCCCAACGACTGAGCCACCCAGGTGCCCCATACCATCTTTAATAGCTTCTTAAAATACTATGTATTTAGGAATAAATCTTTTTTTTTTTTTTAAGATTTTATTTATTTGACAGAGAGAGACAGCGAGAGGGAACACAAGTAGAGGGAGTGGGAGAGGGAGAAGCAGACTCCCCACTGAGTAGGGAGCCTGATGCAGGGCTCAATCCCAGGACCCCGGGACCATGACCTGAGCCGAAGGCAGACACCTAAGGACAGAGCCACCCAGGCACCCCCAGGAATAAATCTTCTAACAAAAGATTTGCAAAACCACAAGACCTTACGAAGAGGAGCTAAAGACCCCACCTCAAACCACACACAAAAGGCAATTCAAATGTGTTACAGACTCACTTGTAGAAAGCTAAACAGTAAAACTCAGAATACAGAATGGATTTTTACATGGATTATCTTCAACAAATTGATAAATTCAACTGTATTAAAATTAAGAACCTCTGTACATAAATCGAAAAGAAAAAGACCTCTCAGAAGAAGACACAAAACCTAACTAGTGGCAAGTTCATACTTAATCACTTATAAAGAATTCCTAAAACAAAACAAAACAAGGCAGAAAGGGGTGCCTGGTTAGCTCAGCCAGTAAAGCATGCAACTCTTGATGCCAAGGTTGTGAGTTCAAGCCCTATGTTAGGTGTAGAGCCCCCTTAAAAATATGTCTGGGGAACACACACACACACACACACACACACACACGCGGCAGACAACCAAATAGGCGGGGAGAAGACAAGGGGTTGCTCCGTTCTAGATCAGTTTCTCTGGCTATTGTAAAAGTTGTACATACAACATGTGTGTAAAAAAAAAGATTTTAACAGGAACTTCACAAAAGACAAAAATGAACTACCAATGAACACAAAAGGTGTTCAACCATCAGACTGGCCAGAAGTAAAGTGGTGGTGAGCACCGAAAACACTGGTAAGAATGTGAACAAGCACAACCCCTTTAGAAAAGAGATTGGCATTAATCTAGTAAAAATCAAAGATACACATGTCCTGGGATCCAGCAGTGATGGCCTTTTTTGGGTATGCAATGCCCAAAATAAAAGTTAATTTGGAGAGAATATAACTAAGCAGAGATGTACAGAAGTGTTATCACTCCTTACGGTATTTTTTAGTTCTCTTAATTCACTGGGGGCTTTGGAGTCTTTAGAGAGTTGGAAAAAGAGTCTCAGTCAAGTTCCTCATCAGAGGGCTCACTAAAGTTCTGAAGTCGGGCCTGGATGGGGGGATGCAGATATTCCGGTCTTTAAGGTACAGAGCTAGCTTCTCCCAGCAGGGACAAAGAGGTACACGTGGCCTGTTCCCACAGATTCTGGCTGAACCAGTAAGGTCACCCCAATTTGGGAACCAATAATTTATCCATTCACTCTCCTGCAGGTGAGGCCTGGGGTCACCCTGAACTTAAAATTCACCTAATGGATGCTCCTTGTCCTAAGTTAATACTATTAATTTTCCCAAGTAGATATGCTTAGAGTGAGAACTTCAGCCTTACATGTATTTCTCACTGTAAATTTAAAAACTGGCATTTGAATTTATTAAAGTAAACAACAAAAAGTAGAGAATGGTTAGAATCAGGAGTGCTATAAAGCCCAAGACAATTATTTTATGGCTGGGAACCTGAGACCATGGTAAGGTAAGTCCTATGACCAAAATAACCAGTATACCTAGGACCAGAAAACCAGGACTCCCACCTCCTAGGCCAGTCCCCCCTCCCCCCATCTCTGGCCTCTGGCCAGCCATCCACTCCCAGGGCAGCTCCCCCAACCCTACCAGTCCTATTCTACATCTCCTGATGACTCTCCATGCCCAGGGAGACACAAAGAAGGTAGGAAAGGTCAGGAAGGGGCCATTAGGAAGGGCAGTCTAGTCATTAAAAAAAGAAAAAATCTAAGGCATGAAAGGGGATTTCATGATGCTGGCATGTCACAGAACAGAAGCCAATCATTGTCTCCTTGAGGGCTGGAAGGTCTTAGAAGCAGAATCTTGGGTTTCCCCCCAGGGCTGCAGGTCAGAGACTGTCAGAGAAAATACGGGTTTCAGCTGCCATTCCTTGGGGGAGCCCAAGGATCCCTAGGATCCACTGTGGAGTCCACGTGAGCACAGGACAGAGTGGGGAAGGATCTGTGCCCACAGGTATCGGGGGGGGGGGGGTGCGGCGGGTTGCGCAGACACACAGTAGGACTGGTGGTTTTCAATCAAGACCAGAGTCTAAACCTCTAAATCTGTCAAGACAGTTCCCCATCATCGCCCTTCTTTTCTTTTAAAGAAGTCTTGAAGCTTCTCAGCGTAACCCTATTCTGAAATTGTAAGCATAATCAGAAGCAGCCAAGGACCAGTGGGCCCCAAGGCCACGGGGAGACTCCGTTACTACCAACCCCAGTCCCCAGCAGCACCTGCCTCCTACTTGCTCCACTCCACGAACTGCACATCAGACCAAACAGCGCTCAAAAGGCATCCTAGAGAGGCAGCCGCATGCCCCCACATCCTGGAGCAGGTCTCCTTCCCCCAGGGCTACACGGGGCAAGTGTGCTCTTTGCCAGGGTCCACAGCTGGTGCCACAGGAAGGGGGCACAAGCAGCTTCCCAAGCCCCATCCTCCCTGGAATCAAGCAGCGATGCAGGGTGCCTGCTCCCTCCAGCAGTGCTACGTAAGCCTTCTCGTCCCCACCGGCTGGGAGGGCGAAATCACACTTACCGGGCACCACTAGGTGCCAGGCACTCAAATCCAGGGTGACTTTTAACCCTCCCAATACCCTACTGGCACGGAGGGCATATCCCTATTCAGAGTGAATGAGGCTAAGAACTTGCCCGAGGTCACACAGCTGGTATAAAGTGCAGAATAGGGGACAACAGAGGTAGGGTCTCGGGGCTCCCCTCAGATGGCTTCTGTGCCAGCCGTGGAAAGACCAGGGCCACACAGATTTACTGTCCACAGGTAACAAAGCCACAACAAAGGATTTTCCAGAAATACTTTCTATCTTGGGCTCTAGTCACTGAGTGCCTGAGTTTCTTCGGCACAAACCATAACCTGTGACCAAGGCCTTCAGAAGTTGGTGCTGGCCAAGTTCCCACAGCCAGGAAGGATCACCCGTCCCGCTCCGACACTTACCACGACAGAGTCATTGTGAGTCAGGTCAACGACCACAGGCTCTAACGATTCACAGGTGAGATCCACTATTTCATCTCCAGCTTTAAAATAAAGCATTTTGACAAGCATTAGGAAAAAAGTAAAGCCATACCGCTCTAAGCTTCATTAAATGATTGCAAATGGAGCACAGGCTTATCCCAAACTAAAACCCCCTCAAAGTACAGAATGCAGAACATCAGGTCCAATCCCTTTTTCAGGGGTGCCCGAGTACCAGTGAATGCCCTTTCAGCATTTTGAGTGTCGGTATGTGGTTCTGACAACTACACCAAGGGGAGGGGGTCATATCTGTGTACACACACCCCTTCATCCCTGTGGCCACACATTGTCACGCTAGGCCTCAGTGCCCCCACCTGCCCCGTACAGGGGAGAGGCAGAGACCTACCTGGGAGCGCTGGGGGACATCCAGGGAAAGGACCAGGCATGCTCACCTCAGGGCCTTTCTCTTTGGCATGGACCCGCCTCAAACCTCCTCCTCGAGGCTGCCGCTCTCCCACACACCTCGTCAGGCTCAGTTCTGCACCCTCATCAGTGAGATACTCATCTCCATGTGGCTCTCAAACGGGGCCACAGGGTGGTGTTTACTGACCCCTTAGACTCCCAGCGCACCAGAATTGGCTGGGCCTGCTCTGTAGCTTGCCTGTGAGCCCTAGGATCCACTGTGGAGTCCACGTGAGCACAGGACAGAGTGGGGAAGGATCTGTGCCAACAGGTATCGGCACTTCTGTGTGGCAGGTAAGAATGAACCGCAGAGGACAATTTCCATTTATATTAACTAAAAAAAGATTTACGATCATTTCTGCTTTTATTATAGCACTAAAGAAGTACGAGAGTAGGATTTTTAGAAGTGGTATTTATTTGGAGACAGTAACTCAAAACATTTAGCAATTCAAATTTGCTTTATTTTCTTCTATTAAAAAGTCTCACAGGAGTAAAACCCACAATATATCAGAGATTGTAATTTATACAAAATGACCTCGTCCTTTTTAAAAAATAGCCCATATACTGAAATACTCTAAGTCACAGAGCCATTCTCGTTCTGGTGGACATAATTTCTGGCTCTCACAAAAGCCATACTCCCATAGGCAGCGTGGCACACAGTCCTGCACACGTGGTAAGGCGGCCTGTGGGGAGGGAAGGGCTGTGCGGGACAGCAGTCAGGCCCGAGACCCCTCCCGCGCCTCGTGTCCTGATCAAGGGGCCTCCCGCGCCAGCCTCTAGTGCAGGACGGCAGAATTCGGACGCCAGGGCATCAAGCCTGGGGCAGAGGGAAGGGAACAACAGGGCGGCCAGGGTCTCAGCCTCTAGGCTTCTAAGAATTCACAGAAGTGAAATTCAGGAGCCACAGAGACGATATTGAGAACTTCACTTCTCTGAAGGGCCCATGAAATCTACCTCAAGACAAGCTCCTTCTCTCTCAGTGTCAGTTTTCAGGCATCATAGTCATTAAAACAATCTCAGTACATGCAGAGCAGAGAGACTCAACTCAGGCCATTTGCCATCTCCCTCAGCAGGCAGAGGGGGAAAAAAATCAATCTGCCTCTGCCTATAGCAACTCCCTCCAACACAGGTGGCTCTGTCTACACACACGCCTTCTTGGGAAATTTTGTGTCTCAATGAAAAAGAGAAAAGGAAAGCCTGAGTACTTCAGGGCCAAGCGAACTGGACGTACAGTTTCAAATCTAAAAGGTGGGCCCAGGGAGGTCTCCCCTCCCCTGCTGCACATTCCCAGAAGGCTAACTGGTTAGCCGTGCTGAGCGGCTGTCAAAACCCGTGGAGGTCTTACGCCACCAAAGAGGGAAGGTCTTGCTCAAGTCAGCTTTCAGTTTTGAGTGGTGGGTGAGTGCAAGACTGCGCAGGTCTTATAAAGACAAGGACAGAAGCTACCCCGTGTACGTAAGTGTTAGCTAACAGGCACTGAGCTAAATGTTCACCTTAATGACAACTCTACGCGGTGGCATCAGGACGATCCCAGTGGGAGGGTAATGGAGGCTCAGGCAGGTGGTGTGGCCTGCACAAGGCCCCACAGCTGGGGGGCTCCAGTGCTGGACTCACCCATGCACACTGCACCCTGCCAGCACCCCATGGTCACAGCATTCCTGGTGATCTTACCACTTTCCACAAGTTCTATGGGTTCTGCTTCCAAGGCCATCTCAGGAGTGGAGGCTGCTTCCCGAGTTCGCTTCTGGGCTTGTCTAGAATTTACTGTGCCACCACGGCGCTTTCTCTGAGGGTATCGGGGAAAGAAACAGTCACATGAGCCCCTGACTGATACAACTTCAACAAGAAGAATGAAAGGTCAACATGGGAATGGCTCAACTCATCAAGAAGAGTAGGGAGATCACGGGGCGCCTGGTTGGCTCAGTCAGTTAAGCGTCTGCCTTCGACTCTGATCATGATCCCAGGGTCCTGGGACTGAGCCCCACCTGGGGCTCCCTGATCAGCAGGGAGCCTGCTTCTCCCTCCCCCCTCCCCCCAGCTTGTGTGCGCACATGCGCAAGCTCTCTCTCTCTCAAATAAATAAAAAACCTGAAGAGTAGAAAGAGTAAGAGACCAGTGAGCCAACCTGAGGTAATGGGTCCTTTCAAAACTCAACATTCTAGGACACCTGGGTGGTATAATCAGTTAAGCATCTGACTCCTGATTACGGCTCAGGTCATGATTTCAGGGTTGTGAGATGGAGCCCCGCGTTGGGCTCTGTGTTGAGCATGGAGCCTGCTTGAAATCCTCTCTCACTCTGTCCCTCCCCCCTCTCTAAAAACAGTAACAAAAACAAAACTTGACATTCTAGAACACTGAATATTTAAAAGAGAAATAATCCTAAACATATAGTGAACATGAACTCTATAAAGCTAAACTTTGTTATATCAAACTATTGGTCAAAATTACCTGATACACAACTTTATACAAGCCTCTGACCCAGGTCAGGACTTGGCCAGAAACCCCTCCTTTTCACCAAAAGTAGCAGACCTGCCCTGCTTGGATCTGTATTTGGCCTCACTGAGGCCATTCTGTTGTTTCAACCCAAAGACCCTCAGTTTCCCACATTTCCATCCACTGTGGAAAGTGGGTTTTTTCTTTGGGAATTCATCAACCTTTAGGGTGCTAGTCAGTGCAGCTCATACCCTCACAATCATGGCCCTGAGCTCAAAGAACCAAAGTTCCCAGTGGCTGCCCAGGAACCCTGCCTTCTGGAAGGCTCAGGCTCTCAGCTGGCGCTATCTGCAGTCCAAACTCCCCGAGCCAGCCGTCTCCCCAATCCTTGAGCGCTGGCTTCCCAGCACGCTCCAGCACTTCTGACCAGGCTGGCCCTAAAACCCACGGTGAGAACACGCCCTGTATGGCCTTCCTCAAAAGAGACCCAACCTCCCACCTGACCCTGTCACCTTGTTATTCCCACCCTGCATGGCCCCCGCCAATCCCGGCTCCCTATGTTTCTGGTTCCCACTGCCACTGGGCCCAACCATGCTCTGAACTGGGTGAGCTGGGGTGGTGATTCCTCTATGGAGCCCAAACCCTCACCACACCAGCCTTGCAGAGCTGGCATGTGGATGAGAGGGCACGATGTATGCCAAGTACTGAGCACAGACACAGGATGCCAGCACAACCCTAACTCCTTGGCGTGCCTTACTAAGCATTCTGTCCCTGGAAACTCTGTAAGGATGGACACTGTTGGTGAGATGTGCACAAGACCTAAGCGTGCTGGCCAGGCAAGAGAGAGAGATGCCTGACTCCTGCTGTATTCCAACCATGCCTCAGTGGCAAAAGGCAGCCTGGGGAGTGTCAGAAATTAAGATTTGGGTTTAGCAACTTCCTGTGAATCTAAGGACAGATGAACCATCTCCAGGAGGGCCTAGAGACAAGCGACCACAGTTGTTCAAAATTCTCCCGCCAGGAGCTGCTATCTGTCTGTTGAGGGAGCTGCCACTCTAGCCTCAGCAGAGTCTACGGCCCAGTGTCTACTGGCTCCCCTCGCTGCCACCAGAAGACCTGGGCTACTTAAGTTTTCCCCGTTTCTCTCTGAAGTTTCTTCGTATTTTCCTTCCTCTGCAAAGGACCAAATATTTCTCAGGAGATACTGCTGAACAGAACCCTTCATGCCCCACCACAGCCACCTGTATGGTTTCTGGTCCCCACCGAGGGGGGCAAGCAGCAGCCATGGGCCCTGGCCAAAGTCGAGGTGCTGGACTCGGACACCATGGGCACTGCAGCAACATGTGCTCTCCCTGCTCACCACCTCTACCCTACACCCCACAGCAATCCTCTTCCCTGGCAGCTTTCTCACCCCTTCCGTGCCTGGACTACCCATTCCTCCCCCTCCTCATTTGGCCAATTCTTACACAGCTTTCAGAAACCTATGCAAATTTCACCTCCACTATGAGGCTATCCCTCACTCTCCCAGGTTGACCATCTCAGGAGTCAGCACCCCCTCTGAAGCCCTGCATCCCCCACATTCCCCAGAGGGCAAGGGGTAGGGGACTGCTAGCTCAGGGCCAGCCTCCAGAAACCCTAGAACACTGGCAGAGATTCTCTCCGCTGCCCTGTTACTCTCAGCGTGGCTGTCTCCCTTTGCACGAGCAGGAGAGGTTCACAGCCTTCAGTTCAAACTGACCACGTAAGTTATTTACGCCATTGAGGAAGCTTAACCAACTTCTTCACAGTCACATAAGCTACACTGCTCTAACCAGATCCTGCCTGGGCAAGGCGTGGGCTTCAGAGGGGAGGTGCCCAGGCTCAGGACATGTTTCCCTACAAGTGAGCTGCAGGGACAATCTGCAGATAAGGAGTCAGAGTGGGAAGTCACCTGCCTTTTAAAAGGGTAGGTCCAGGGAAACAAAGGCCCTTTTGTGTACAAACATCAACGGTGGGCTCTGAGCACTCTAGGCACTGGGAGTGGTCAGGACGAGGTGCAGCCAGGGGCAGGGAGTGGAATCTACAGGATTTCTACTGCTGTTCAGTCTCACCCTGCCCACACGCTCACAGCACCTCTGGAACCTGGGGAGAGACTATGACGCTGTCGTTTCCCAGCTGGTCCACCTGATACGAATCCAGTATCTCAGAAAACAACTGTTTTGAGTTTAGATCATATGAGCAATCTGGTCAGCAGGGAATAAACTAGGGAGGGAGACCTTCAGGCAATCTTCTCTGGAGCTCAAGGGGCTCCAGGGGATATCTGCTAACACGGCACAGCCTCTGCAGTCTGATAAATGCTCTGAACAGACTTACCGACTTTGGTCACTGAGTGTAAGAAAACTCTCACGAAGGACCATTACCACTATGCTCACACTGGACCAAAAACTACACAGGGAAAGGAAAGAGAAGGGAAAATGGAACACTGGATTGTGAAGGATTGTGAAGGATTAAATAAACCAGAGCATTTCCAGGACACGGACAGCTGCTCTGGGGATAGAAAATTTCCAAACCCGCAGGTATTACTGTTGTCTTCAGGACACCACCCAAAACACTGGACTCCTCCAGACAACTAAGTTGTGTAGCTGCCCTCAGTCCTGTACGCTTTTCCTTCGAGAACAAGGGTTACTGAGAGGCACCTTTACGGTACTCTCATTAATGTGCCATAAGAAATAAGGTAGTTGCTTAGCCTCGAAAATACAATTCATAAGGGGGCGCCTGGGTGGTGCAGTCAGTTAAACGTCTGACTTTGGCTCAGGTTGTGATCTCAGGGTCCTGGTATCGAGCCCCATGTTGGGCTCCCTGCTCAGTGCAGTTTGCTTGTCCCTCTGCCCCCCCACCCCTACCTCGTGGGCACACTCTCACAAATAAATAAAACAACAAAATCTTTAAAAAGAAAATTCACAAGCTGATAAAACTCACAGTACTCATTGTGCTCTTTGACTTCACCCTACAGAGAAGGAAGGGACCTGTACAGAGGTTGGCAAGGAAGCTGAATGTTGACTGTTTTCAACTTCTCACATCTGCTGGTTACTCATCCTCTGGCTAGCATAGCAATTTGCAGCCAAGTAGATTTCCAGTATCTTCAAGTCCTGAAAAACAAGGGTATCAAGGTGATAACTGCTCCCACCTACATCATCAACAAGAAAGCTCAGTGCGATCCTTTACTGGTACTTTGCTGAACACTGCATGTAACTCATGTGCTTGCTTGCATATTCTTGAGAAGCAAGCACTCTTATAGAGCATTGGGTCACTTGATCCCAAAGCCTGAGATCAGACCCATTATGCCACCGCCTGCCCTTCTTTCTGGCGGCTCAAACGCATCCAGAGTCTTGTGCCAGCTGCTAGGAAAAGGCAAGAGAATCTAAACGGCCACACATGACCTCGCAGACTCCTTGCAACCAGGTGGGCATGGAGTTTCTGAGGCCAGAGCAGAGCCCAGGGCCTCTGGCTCTTTCTACAACTTCACTGTTGCCCTCTGGAGGAGCTGATAACGCAGAGGAGGAGACGAGAGTCACCTGCCCTGATTCACCCTGCATGCCTAGCTGAGACTTCTGTCACTGGCAACAGGTGAGTGGGAAAGAACCAAGAAACTGGATTGGGAAGCTAAGTGGGAGGTTCCAGGAAGGGCAGTGAAAGCAGCAAGTGAAGAACCTGCTAGAGAACTGAAAGGCCCTAGGATTTCATTCAGGGCCTTTCCACTGGGAGGCTGAAGCTACCCACCCTAAATTCAGTGTCAGAGATGCAGTGGAAAAGGGAGCAAATGAGAAACAAAAACATGGAGTCAGAAGCCAGGAGTCGGCGTGTGTGTCATCAGGGTCGAAGGGGCAAAGCTGGCTTCTGGCGGGGGAAGCCCTGAGCACTGGGCAAGGCTGAGGGACTCAGGGAGAATCAGAGCAAAGAGGAGGCTCTGTGGTCACCCACCCTGGGCAGCAGTGCTCTGGACAAGGACAGGGGTTCTCAAACTTGAGCCTGCACCAGCCTCACTAGGAAGGCTTGTGAAACCAGAGTCTCTGACTCAGCAAGTCTGGGATGGGACTCAAAATTTTGCATTTCTCACAAGTTCTGAGGCAGTGCTAATGGTGCTGCTCCTGAGGCCCCACCACAGGAACCACTGGACTAGGACAAGGACCTTGGACAGAAGGAGGCCTATCTGAGAAGTGCTGAGACGGCAGCAAAGACAGGACCACTCTCAAATCCATCCACCCAGTCATCCCCACGGCTGCTACCTGCTCCTAACAGATCTCCCACCTCCCAGTGCCCCCTCCACCCTACTGCCAGCACAGCTTCCTAACGCACACAGCTGGCCACAGCAAT